ATCGATATTCTTAGCTAGTTATTATGAGGTCTACTTGTGATTAACTGTATTGCGGTAAAGTTTTCTATAATAATAGGGCTGTGGGAATTTTTATACGACATAATTATTGATATACTTATCTCGTATTAAAATTATCTGAGCTGCCCATGCATTATCAATAAATTTTCGTCTGTGGCATAATTTCCCTTGCTTGCGTACTCAACATTAAAAAGCAAAATTTTTACTTCAGTTTTGTTTGACAAAATGTGTCTTCAAATGTCGTGCATCTTTTGACATCATGCCATTATACCATTACCTCATGACACACCAAATGCAACTATATAATGTACGAAAATTTCGAAAATTTAATTTAGCCTAAAATTTTATGAAATTAGTTTTATGCAATGCAAAAGAAATAACATTAAATATGAATTTTCCTGCATTATAACAATTACATAAAGAATATTTTTATTTTATTAATGAACATCTTTTTATTTCAAAATTAAAAAATTTTGAAAAAAAATTAAGATTTATTAGATTATAAGATTTTATGAGCAATTATATTGTCTGTAAATTTTTTACACTGTATGAGATAAAAGAGATAATTCGAAAATTTGTACAATAGTTGAAAAATTCGATATTTGTGCAGCTCTCATTTCAAGAATTCTTATTACCCAAAGTTCGCTGTTTTTTTTATCAGATATACAGATATCTTACCTCCCTATCTTCCATCAGAGCATACTTATCATGCTCCTTCTCCATGAGGTATTTCAGCACTTTATTGTGACTCTCGGATGCGGCGAACCAGATCGGTGCGTAACCGTGGTTCGTCTTGATTTCAGGAGACCCGCCGCTGTTCACGATCAGTTTCACGACGTCCAGATGGCCGGCGCGTGCCGCATAATGCAGCGGTGTCCAATCATTCTTGTCGGTCGCGTTTATTTCCGCTCCCTGACCCAAGAGGACCTCCACCATCTGATAATGTCCGTGTGTCGCCGCGATGTGCAGCCCGGTCTTGCCGTCATGATCCAAACTATGCAACAATTTCGCAGATCTGCTCAAAAGCAGACCCACGACAGTTATGTGACCATCGAAGCAAGCCAGATGCAAAGGGTTCCAGC